TATATATATATATATATATATATATATATATATATATATGTTAAAATAGATTTAAGAACCTCATAATTCTTTTGCAAAATGCATTCTACATTAATATTATTATGCAATATATTTTAGCCAGAATAATTCATGTATTATAATTTCAAAAGAAAAATGAGAATTTGACCTACCATTTTCCTCATTATTGTTGCTGGAAGAGTGAAAAGCTTCAAAAAAAAAAATCAATCAGAAAAATAGAAATTAAAAAAATAAATAAATGAAAGTGCACCTTATAGAACAAAATAATTAACATATTTGATTATTTTGCAAACCATAAAAAATAAGTTATGTAATATGTTAAAGGTCATATTTAAATTAAAAAGATTTATGAACATCATAATTCTTTTGAATTGCATATACAAATTTAAAATCTATAAACATTCATAATTTAGTGAGAATAATTCATATAATAAAAATTTGAAAAGAAAAAAGGTGAAAAAGAAAATTGGCTTACTATTTTCCTCATCATTGCTGCCAGAAGAGAGAAGAGCTTCAAAAAAAAAAACAATCAAAAAGGTAATTAATTTTTTTTGTCAATATATAAAAGGAAGAAAATTATATTATTAAATAGTATTAGTATTTAATAGATGTGCCAAATAAGTAATGAGTGAAAATTGAAGTGCGGGTTTGATTCTTTTTCATAGGCCAATCACATTAATTTTATTTTTTTTGTTATGGGTAGCAATGAGATTCGATTTCAGAATCTATGTCTGCTCTGATACCATAAAGTGTGTGATCATTTCATCAAAAAGTTTAATCTGTTAAAGTGTGCACACATTTATTTGTTAATTATATTCTCAGCACGCTCCCTCACGTACATATCTGATTCTTTTTTATAAACCAAGCATTAACACAAGTATTTAAAAAGAAATATCTCGAAGCCGTGAAAGATTACGAAAATAACTTTTTTAGTTAATTATATACGAGAATTGATTAGAAAAGGCGAGATGAAAAATTAAATATAACTCTAATATAGTAATAACACATAAATTGTTATGATATATTGGAATAAATAGAAAAAAATCAAGTCTAATAGTAAATATCATAATTCATTTTGATGGACATGAAATAATTAGATTAAAATTTGGCATCAAATGTCCCTTCTACTTGGAAACACAATGATCCTAAATATAAAAAGAATATTTATATTTTCAACAGTAATTAAGATCTACTTAAGACCAGTTTCAACACAATGTTCGCACGATCTAAGCACAAAAGTATATTTTTTTGGAGTGTTCATAAACAAATATTAACCTTTTCATTTTTTTTCTAAAAGAATTGACACAACGATTTAAAGTAAAATATCTCGAAGTCATGATAAATGATACATGGAAAACAATAGTTCTCTAGTTGCTCCTCGATGTGAATAGAGGCGAGACTCAATAAGATCGAGGTTAAAATTAAATATTTCTCTAGCCTAGTAATAAAATACAAATGTTATCGCATATTAAAATAAATAGAAATAAATCAAGCCTAGTAGGAAATATCAAAATCTACAAAAACATACTTGATTGAGAAGACATTATTGTTGAGAAGAGCGACCGCCGTCAGCGATGAAATTGTACAGAGAAAATCAAGTAACCCTAATGAGCGAAGAAAGAATCAATATATAGAGGTTTAAATTGATCTGGTACGTTCATCATATAATCATTGTACGGACACGATCTATTATATATAGATACTAGTTATGAAATTTATATTAATTGAGCTACAAATAAAATAAGAAAATAATGTCATGACATGATCATCAAAATTAAAAAACAAATGGTTCAATTTTGAACTATATGCCCATAATACACTTTACGCCCCAAATGATGACAAGTTATCTGCTCTTTTTCCTTTTCATTTCAGATTTCGAGTTCAAATTTTAAAATTTTTAAGTAAAGAATGATGTTTGGATTTGTATATATTGTATAAAAATGTATATATAATGTATAATATGAGTATAAAGTGTATATGAAATGCCTACAAATCAATAGTGTGTTTATAAAATCTAAAATAGATGTATATATAATGTAGAACATACATACCCAGCTTCTGCATTTCACAAAATAAAAATAAAAATAATAATAACCAAAAAAAAATATTACATGTTGGCTATCATCAATTGAAATTTTTAGGGCTAGCTTCATGTCAAATGTTTTGGCCTAGAGATCATTTGTGTACTTGGTCCAAATACAAAAATAAGTTTTAAATTCTCCCACTTGGCTCAATGACCACATAATATTAGTATAACAGCATAAATATTAGTTGTGTATATAATAAATTTCGTCTATAATGTACATCTTGCATATCACAATATACATACTCCCTTTCAGATACCATTATATTAGCAACTTTATTGTATCGGATTTATAAGCTATAAAATATTTAACATTTCATTGAGACGTACTCTGTAATATCTCAAAATTAAAGTGTGTACACTATTATGAGAAACAAATAATTCGTTGGTGTATATCTAAAACACATAATTGAGCTCAGAGAATCAAAATATCATAAATGTATCAATCATGAGTACAATCAAAACCTATTCTTTAAACTTTTTTTTTAATTGTCTTTGGTTGTTAATCCCCCTAAGTGAAGCTCTTTCTTTTTGAGCTGCTTCGTTGATGGTAAATTATTACTTTAATTTCATATATTTGACACATTTGGTAAAAACATATCATTCTTGAAAATCAGAATACTATTGTAGCATCGTCACAATAAATTTTTAACTTCACATACAAATTTTTTTAGCTTATGTACCATTTAACTTTTTTCAATAATTTCAAAACCCTCTAGTTGGTCTATATAAGCTTCCTCCTCAAGGTCTTCGTTAAAATTAATACATGAATAATTGAACTCTGCATAACTTATTTATACATTACTAATATCTACATAGCTCTAACCAACAATAAAGTGTCAGATTGTCAACTATGTTACATCAACTCCGCCAGTGCTCGACCCTCCAATTACATCCTAATCCCATAAATAGATTAATTTGGAGTTACCCCAAGAATTTCTCACCTCTAACCCTGAGATTGTGGTTCAAGTCATCAAAGAAGCAGAAAAGGTCGAAAACTCCTAAGAGGTGTAAAAATTATAATTATTTTAGCTATGATTTGTAGAAGTCCTATGGTAGAGTTTATCAAGTAACCACCAATCTAAAGTATGATTAGCAAGCAAGACCATCTTATAAGCATGAGAATTAGTTTAGGTAAACATATGTTTAGAGAAACTACAATTAGGAAATAGTTTAAGACTATATTATTACATATTAAGTTATAATAAGGTTTTGATCCACACAAACATTTACATGTTTATCTCATGCTCTTCTTCTTCTTCTACCATTCATCAGTTACCTTTTAGTAGCAAGATGATGTGTTCATCATGCTTTCTTTGTACTCCTTCAATTCCCTCTGGTACCTTTCCTTGTCCTTCACCCCATACTCTTGATAGACCTGTATAGTATACACTAACAATTAGTATCATACTCTTTCAGGATGTGTTTCGTACGAAGAAAAATATTTTCTTGAAAAAAAATAAGCTTCTTACCTATTTTCTTGTATTCAGTATGTAAGCAAAAAACTTATTTGAAGCCATAGGTGGGGATGCGTGCAAATGTGGTGCGTTCGAGGAGGGGGGGGGGGGCAAACAATGGTGGATGCCACTTATAGACTTGTTTTCCTTACTTTCAGTAAAGAAAACATTTTTAATAAATTTTGACCAATTAAACATGAAAAATGAAAAAATATTTTTTTAATACCGAATGCACACTCAATGGACTATATTGCATGTGTGCTTTAATGACAAGCAAGTTTGGGTCGCCTACATGAATGTTTATCTTCCATGTCACATCTAAAGCCCATGTTCTCGATTTATGATGAATCTTCATAATACAGAATAGTACTATATGATCGAGTTTAAACAAGCTTACCATTTTTTCTTCAGGAGATAGATTGTTCCAAGACTCTCCAATCATCTTAGTGAACTCCCTCTCTCTATGTGGATGAAGAGATTTGAGCATTGCATGTTTTTCAGCAAAGAAGAAGTTGTAACCACTCCTATTAGGTTTTGGACGATTAGGGTCTCCGTTCCTCCTCCTCCTGTTCCTCCGTCCTGAAATAGGTGGTGAGTAGTAAGGCACAATCGCGTTGCAACTTTGTGCACCCGATTTGGAAGAGGATGGTTGAGCTTGTTGGTTTGGGTGGTAAAGTACACCATTGAGAACTTCACTTCCCATTTTGAGGGACACAAAGTAGCCACAATCAAATTTGGCAGAAATTCTCCCTTCAGCTTTGAAGCATGAACCTATATTACACATAAAGAGAATTTCAAATAGACAATGTGAGCAACAAAAAAGAAAAAGTCAGGTGCACAAAGCATGTTACATTCACGCACGCAAGTTCAGATGACAAATTGATAACTATAACTTACTATTGTAGGTTTAAAATTCACTAATACAATAAAAGAAAATAATGTTATAAATGTGTATAACTTAAATCCTTTAATGAAAGTATTAGACTATTTTTTGTCAACCATAAGAAATAAGTAAATTAATATTTTGATAAATTTATTAATAAATTTGAAGTCATGACAAATGGCACGTGACAACCAATGAAAAATGAACATGTCTAGCATAGTAATGAAAAACAAATGATACATCATATATTGAAATAATTAGAAATAAATCTAACCTATTAGTAAAAGATCAAAATCTTTGAACTAGTAAGTATGTAAAAAGTGTAATTTAGTATAAAACACTTTGGTAAATGCATCAAAATTTAAAGAGTTATATATTGATACCTTTTTATAAAAATATCTCAACATCATGTCATATGACAAGTGATAGAAAATAAATCTCCGTGAACAGACGCTTTGTCAGTTCATTTTTTAGATAACTCCTTGATGAGAACAAAGAAAGAGGAGACTCCAGAAGATTAAGGTGAAAATTGAATATGTCTAGCCTACTAATAGTGACACACAAATATATATTAATTAATAATAAATAGGAAAAAAAATCGAACCTAGTACTAATAGTAAAAGATCAAAATTCATGAACTAATTAGTTCTTATAACGTGTAATTTAGTCAAATAACACTTTCGTGCATCAAAGTTTAAGAAGTTATATCTAGACACGTATTTTAAAAATATCTCTATATCATGTCATATAACACATGTCAGAAAGTAGATCCTTGATGAGAATAAAGAAAGAGGAGACTCGAAATTGATCAAGGTGAAAATTAAATATGTCTAGTCTAGTTATAACACATAAACATAATCACATATTGAAATACAAAGAAAAAAAATTCTAGCGTACAATAGTAAAAGATCAAAATCCTTGAACTAGTCAGTAGAAAATTTAGTCAAATAACACTTCGTGTGGTTAGAACTTGAGCCATTATATATTGACACGTCTTTTAAAAGTATTTCGACATCATGACATATGACACGTGTCAGAAGGTTGTTCCTTGAAGGGGATAAAAAAAAGGAGACTTGAGAAGATCAAGTGAAAATTGAATATGTCTAGCCTAGTAATAACACATAAATTAAATGTTATCGCTTATTATATTAAAATAGAAATAGAAAAAATTCTAACCTAGTAGTAAAAGTTAAAGTTTTGAATTACTTAGTACATATAAAGTGAAATTTAGTCAAATTACACTTCCGTGCGTCAAAACTTAAGTTATTATATATTGAAACAAATTGAATTATTTCTTTTATCAAAATAGTAAAATATCAAAATCTTTGTACTAGTTAGTACTTATAAAGTGAACACTAGTCAAATCTCAAGTTATTATATATTGACACGTCTTTTAAAAATATGTCGATAGCATATCATAAGATCATATGTGGCATAAAGCAGCTAGTCAATGAGAACAAAGAAAGAGGAGACTTGAGAAGATCGATGTGAAAATTAAATATGTAACTAGCCTAGTAATAACACACAAATATTATCGAATATTGAAATAATAGAAGAAAAAAAAGTTAACCTAGTTACAAAAGATAGATTAAAATCGTTAAACTAGTTAGTACTTATAACGTGCAATTTAAATAGCACCTTCGTGCGTCAAACTTAACCAGTTTGTATATTGTGAATTATGACAAATCTTTTAAATATATCTCAATGTCATACAGTACGACACGTGACATAAATAGCTCATGTAGTTACCTCGATAAGAACAAAGAAAGAATAGACTCGAACAAAATCAAGGCGAAAATAGAATAAATTCTAGCACAGTAATAGCAAAGAATATAATATTATTGCATATCAAAACAATATAAAACATTGATTTAGAAAATAATATATATAATATATGAAATTTGCTAACCTTCATCAAACATAGGAACTTCATGTTTGAAAAAATAAACTTGTTCAAAGTGATGAAGCAAAGTGAAATAATGTTTCCTCAATGCATATGAAGCACTTGTTGTTGTTGGAGAAAACTTGAAAATTGAACTCACTTCTCTCCATTTCTTATCTGCCACTACCTATATATAAAACAAAATAATACATGTATATCTTAAAAAAGGTAATAATAATAATAATAATAATAATAATAACTATATAATAAAATGAAATAAATTATTATAATAAAAAAAGAAAAAATTAACCTTGTTAAAGCCACCCCTTTTAGTCACCTCAACATAGAGAACATGCAAATCAAGATCCTTCCCTCCAATCACAGGAACCCTTAATTAAACAAAATCAAACATTAATTATCTAAAATATATATACTTTTAACTTATGATTGAATCAAAAAATGAAAGAAAAATAATTCCTCATCAATATACATCGCCCCTTGTCTCGACTCGTTATGGATGGAATTCGAGAAGATGGATTTCCATCTGAATATTTTTTGAATTAAAAGAATTAAATCATTAAAAAAAACAATATTATTTGTGTATGTTTTGTTTTATCCCTTTGATTTTTTGGTATATTTAATTATTTTA